ATATATTTTTTAAATACTAACAATAATTATAATATTATGTGTGTGTGTGTGTGTGTGTGTGTGTGTTACATATGGAGACAGGTGCCCCATATGGATATTCCTAGTGTCAAACTGCACTTCCCTTTAGATTGTTTATTTAGTTGGATGAGAAGAGAGATTTGTTTAATAATCCTACCAGCAAGTGAAAGTATATCCTCAATCCCATGCACTGTAGGTTTTCCACAGGAAAGGGGAGATGTAGGTGTAATAAGAGCAGATAATCCAGCAATTCCCCTGCATCTACCGCTGGCTATCCAGAGAGCTCTGGATGGAATCACTGACAGCCCAGATAAGATAACCGTTGTAAAGATAACTTCAAACACTGATTCTTTGCTTCCGAAACCCATCTAGGATAAGGTACAATTACAGATTTTTTCTTCAACTCTGTTTAGCAAAACAGGGCACCCTGGTATCCATGAGCTTGCCTGCCATCAGCATGCATTGGGCTGATGTTAGAGAGAAAACTAATGAAGCAGGTCCTCAGATCAGTATCTGCTATATTCTGAGAAAACTTGATTTTGTTTGCCACTAAATTTCCGCACTGAGGCGGGGAAGCCTTTTTGAAGTGTAAATGTTTTGGAAACAAGTGACTGAAAAGTTATCTGTAGAAAGCCAGGGAGAGAAAGATTAATTTAAAATCGGATGCTAGACCTAAGAAAACCAATCATGCTTAGCCATGGAGAAAAAAAAAAGCAACTGGATTTGAGGCAATAGACTACACTTTGCATAACAAGGAAAAGTCACAGCAATATCGTCAAGAAATCCCTTTGTATTAGTGTTTGAACATAGATATGTTGTCAATAAGCTGCCATTATTCCCCTTTAGTCTAGGTGTAGAAGCTAGCACTTAGTTACTAACAGTAGGGGATCGATGGATCTACTCTCTCTAGAAGTAAATTGGGACCTCTGAGAGATCTGACAGTTCTACTTGTGCTTGTGTGAAAAATGCCACATTTAACTTTAAACAATGGACTTTAATTCTCAATGATGTGTTTTCTTTTCACATACCATCACTAGTTATAAAGTTTTAGAGCCTATTAGAGCCCAGCATGGTTCCTTAAAAATTCTAAAGTTTGTGGCTAAACCAATACATACTGTAGGCAAAAAACAAACAGAGGTCTTGTAATGTATTCGGACTGTGTGTTCAACAATATAAGTCATGTATACTTACCCTGAATATCATCACGTCTGACATAGCTTAATTACTTTGAATATAACAGTTTACTCTGGATTGTACAGCGATATATAGGCTTGTATAGGGACACAAGCAGTGGTGTAGTACAAAAATAGGTATCAAATCAATATCAAATATTATTATTAGAAAAACTCTACTTTTGCTGTAATCAAAGTAAAAAAAAAAAAAAAAAAAGAATTGCTGGCACCGAGGTGTCATTACTCCAGTAGTGAGTTGTTGGACTGGGTCATAAGAAAGTGCTCAGAAACTTTTTTTCCCTTCCCTCCAGAGAGTATTGTCTGTTTTATAACCAGACCTGAGAGCGCCATCTACAGATAATCTGGATTAAATATCAGATAAAACAGCGCAGGTTGGTCACACTCTTCTTAACTCAAGCTGGCATTTAAACCACTTGCTAGCCACTTAAATCTATTTACTGGAGAGTGAACAAGGCCAGGAATGATATACAGTATATAAAGAGGAGGAGGAAAAACATATCCGATTTGCTTGCTCTCACTATGCACAGGCCAGTCTGCAGAGAGGGGAGCCTGCATGTTCAGGGTGACTGCTCACAGGAGAGTTTAGTGTGGACAAGCAACATGCACCAATGGCTCTGGATGAGCCTTCAAATGACTAATAAGTACTCTGTCTAAAAAGAGCTGGACATGTAATAATGTTTCATTAGAAAACGACTAGGTGATGGGAAAATAGAGACTTCTCTGCAGGAGGCGACTCTTCTGCTGGAACTGATACTGCTTCAAATGAGAGCAAATGCGGATGTTAATGAAATAGCCAATATTTATTTAAAACACATATGCCTGTCTGCATGGGTGTATAAGTGGCTGTGTCTGCACCCTAGAGATCCATATACCCTCCCTACAGGAAGGAACTCATGTGTTTGCTAAATAAGAGTAAAATTAAAATAAAGAAAAATATTCAGACTTTTTTTTTAGACAATTATTTATATTTTAGATTCGAATACTCTTACAAAAACGTGTTTGTGAGGGATAAAGATATATATATATTTTTAAATAACATTATTTTCTCCCATCATTAATGATATAATAAACATATATTTACAAAGATGCTCAGGTCATTGGATTATTGTAGAGACATATCTCCATTTCCATGCTTTTATTGCAGATGACTTGGGGTATTGTAGTAAGTTTGTAGCATGGAGCCCCCTTCCCCTACCCTGACAGGCTCTCTCACTTCTTCTATCTGTTTTCTATCGATCCCAGCACACTAATGATAAATCGATGTCACGTCCACTTCGGGGAATACATAATTTGCCTTTTCAATGCTTTCCCTGTACTTTTCTTGTATGTTTTAATCGGACTCTGTCTTTCTATCCTCACTTGTGTACCAGCAGCATGGCAGAGAGCTGGAGTTGTGCGGGGTTGGTGGTGATATTGTGTTGCAGACAGCGAGTGAAGTGTTAAGGAATAGAAAGTATATAATCAGTGTTAAACAAATAGCCCGGATGGTAGCTGAATCTCCATTTGTCACACCGTGGCTGTACTTTTATCTAAGGCTTATGTGATGTGCTAGTTGTGTGTGTGTGAGTGTGTGTGCCTGTGCCATCCTCCCCTCACCCCTCCACAGTGACAGGGTAATGCCAGGGACCTCCTCACTACAGCTCCAGTTTTTTTGCGTTGGCGAATCACCGAGTGCTGGAATCTATTCCCTTTGTCTGACAAGTCATCCAACACATCCCACCTTAAAGTGACAACTTCAGCCAGTGTCTCCATTTTCCAGAGATTGCTCTATCCCCCGAATTTGTACACACGCACACACCCCTGGATTTTTTTCCCCCTGTTTAACTTTGCTTTGAAGTCAGAAAACTCCGGCCAAAGACTTGGAGGGGAGCAAACTCTTACTTGACTGCGTCCGGCTTCCATCACCCGCTGCTCACAAGTGTCTCCTGTGGTCCAGCAGCCATGAGAAGAGGTACTTGCTGGCCCAAGATCGCCTCTTCTTCCCAGGAAATCTGAAGGACTCTACCCAGCCCTGAGCTTCTCCTGCCACCACCACCACATCCTGCACGGCTGTCATCAGACCTGTCCCCCTAGCCCATCCTGCAGCCCTCAGCCCAGGGGGCAGTGGGGACCAACATTGAGCCTGGAAACAAGTGTAGCCTATTTTCTTCAAGTCTTGAAGTTCAGTCCAGAGGCGAAACGGCGACTACAGCCGAATTCCTCCCTTTCATTTGCCTCCCCATGGATATGCATTGCAAGGCTGATCCCTTCTCTGCTATGCACCGTGAGTACTATCCATTCCATCACAGCCTAAATTCTGCTCTCAGGGTCCACATCCAGCTGCCTGGAGCCCAGCTTAGTCCTACTGGCTCCATCCCTTTTCTCTCTGACATACTATTTATTTACTAACGTAATTTTGCTTCTCTTCGTTAAATAGTCATGGCCGAGGCTTTGTAATTAGTCGCATTTAATAATAAAGCATCGGTATTTACTGAATAATATACCTTACATTGTGATAATAATATTCAGCTGATTCAGATCCGGTTAATAAAACTGACCTCCGATGTACCATTAAATAGGGAGCTAAAACCTGTCTGAAATTAAATTATATGGGAGGCGGAAAATATCTATTCAATAGGTAAATTATTAGAAAAGGGCTTATTAGCCGGCACCTAATCTTTTTATCTTTTTATTTAGGTCAGCATTACAAAAAACATAGAATGATATTAATAATAAGATGATACTGTCCACTTATAAATAATTAGTAGTATTAAAGGCACGCGGAGGTACCAATAATATCAGAGATAATCCATAGATTAAATACTATTAATATATCTGAGATCATTTACAAACTGAACGCAAAACATAGATTAATAATGTATCTAATAGAGCATATTGAATATAAATGGATAATGAGATACATTGGGAACTCTCTGCATTTAATAATGCAGTTATACCTGAGCGGCTTATCCTAAATAAAGTGAATAACACAGAAAAAAAATACTACTTAAAAATGCAATATAATGCATTAAATGAAAAAAAAGACATGTTCAAATTTATCACAAAGGTGCTGAGAAAATTGCAGCTTGGTAACTGTATAGCTAACGTGTCCACAAGCTGCTGGGCACAGGCGAGGGGGATCCATGCCCGGCCAGGCCATGACAGGGTGACAGTGAACGGCCAGCCAGGGCTATGAGGAGGGCAGGAAGGGGTGTCCCTGGCAGAAAGGGCCATCTTTGGGGAAAACTGTATTTGTGCTTGGTGCTGGATCGATTTAAGGGCAATGAGAGTTTCCTCAAGTTCACAGTCTATAAGTCACTGTCACCAGCACGGGGATAAACTCACCAATATAAATACATCATTTTTCACAAAAGTGGAAAGCCTGCTGAATTCCAATTTAATAAAGCATTAACACTCTTTATACAAAAACACCTGCCTTCTACCCTATACAGATAGATAGACAGATAGATAGATAGATAGATAGATAGATAGATAGATAGATAGATAGATGGTGCAGTTTTATTTTTTTAATTATTTTTTTCTACTGCAATATCCTACACGACAGCCCCAAGTAACATAGGGTTATATCCTCTCTATATACTCCCTCTATGTACACTTTTATTTTAGCTCTGCCTTAGCAGCAATTGTATGATTAAATGAAGTGGGCAGAGCGCATGCCTGGCGCTAATGCTGACTGTCACCCGGTTGGTCACGTGTTGTTGTGTGATCTCCCCTTGATCGGAGTGAAATTGTTGGGCTACAATAATCATGATTCCATTGTGAGGAGCCCTGATTATTCTGCCTGGATTGGGTCAGAATTGGTCAGTGGCAGAAGTCAGCACGTGTGTTGTGTGGATCTCATTACACTGCATTGACTTAGCATGGAGCCCATCCTAGGTGTAGCTTTATAGGGGGGACACATCATAGGCAGATATCACATAGTCCTTCACCTGTAAGGTGGACAAGACTGGACCAGAACTGTATAAACTTGTGTTCTTGGAGAGCTCCTGTAGGATTCTCAGTTGTATGTACTTCCTGCAGCAAAAGGTGCTCTGTTCCAGATCACCTTCCCATTCTTTCATTTACAGGGCATCGCACATGATTATAGATCAGTTCTGTATGTCATGGAGTCAATCTGTTTTATGGTTATCATTTGGTTTAGAGATCTCATCCCTTTACTATTTGTCTAATGCAATGCTTTGTGTTTCTCTCTCTCTCCCTCTCTTTGTGTCTCTGTTTTTCATTCTCTCTTCCCCAGCAGGGCATGGGGGTGTCAACCAGCTCGGGGGGGTATTTGTCAATGGCAGACCTCTACCTGATGTGGTGAGGCAGAGGATAGTAGAGCTGGCCCACCAGGGCGTCAGACCCTGTGACATCTCCAGGCAGCTGAGGGTCAGCCACGGCTGTGTGAGCAAGATCCTGGGCAGGTAAGGACCTCTATCTTCACTCCTTATTTAACTCAATTATATATATATATATATATACAGTCTCAGTTGTTACGTAAATTTTGGCGGCTGTAAGTGTGTGTGATGAGGCCAGGTTCGATGGCACTTGGTGAATGAATTCACGTCCCGCAGGATGGTATGCATTATATGGGTGACAGAGGTGACACCAGAGGATGTTAGCCGTCATCAGCTACCGGGCTAATGAATGCACACTCTTATTAATAATCTAATGGAAGAATAATTTCTGATTTTACATATGTCCTTTGCAGCTCTTTCAATTTGCTACACAGGGCTGATTAAAATGACATTACAAGGCTTTAATAGCGCTTGTGTATTGATTTGTAATTCAGCTCGCAAACACATAAGTAATTATAAAACCTAAGTGACTATTAGTATCATTATTATATTTACATCAAATTGGTAACAGGGAGCTCCCCATGCACACCGATCTCCGATGCCAATAATTAGATAAACTGGGGAAAACATGCTAGGAACCTGGAGGTAACTGTCTCATTTTCTTCCACAAAATTGCACAGACATTCCAGTATTTAGCCCTTTCTTTACGGAGAAATGGGATGATTGCATGTGAGAACGCCTGTTTATTGATGCCATCATATATGGGCCGGGTAATGGACGCATCTAGAATTAATGCATATGTGTATGAGCCAATGGTACCAGCTCACTGACTGGGCTCTGTCCTTCCCGTACAGGTATTATGAAACGGGCAGCATCAAGCCGGGAGTAATTGGGGGATCCAAGCCTAAAGTAGCCACCCCAAAAGTAGTAGATAAAATCGCTGAATACAAGAGACAAAACCCCACCATGTTCGCGTGGGAGATCCGGGACAGACTGCTGGCAGAAGGGATCTGTGACAATGACACTGTGCCTAGCGTGTCCTCCATCAATAGGTAGGAACTGACTTCTGTACCAATGCTGACCATTGCCATAGCTGCTGTCACCAATTGTCCCATCTATGTAACCAAATGAACTATCAATCACAACTTGTAACTTCACAAGGCATCGTAAAATACCTTTTTTAATGTTGTAATCGTCTGCGGATTTCCAGTATTAGAAATAAGTCACGTTTAATACTTTGTGAAAACTGTTTTCTTTTGTCTCTTTTTACCATTGATGGAAAAAAATGTCACTTTGTTGCCTTCTTTTTGTTTATGAGTATTACAGCTAATGTTTTCAGTCATTTTAGTGTTCTCAGTAATTAAGAATTTAACAGCTCCCAAATTTACAGACAATCACAAAAGCCTAGCTACTGAACCATTAAAATACCAGAGTTTATTTATCTTAACCAAACAAAATTGAAACGCTGTGTACACGTGTGAAATGGGTCAGGATTACCGAGGAGAGAGCCTGGAACCAAAACTTTTTTTTTTTTTAAAGTGGTTTGCTGGTGAGGCTTGCACTTTACACAGCTCCAAGTAATCATTGGTATTACAGGATTACACCTGTATAGAGCCCATAGCAGCTCCATTAAGTAGATAGCATTGTTTGCATCACAATGTAAAAGACTGGATTTTTTTTTTTGTAACAGAAGGGGGGTGGGGGACCAAAGGTTTCTAGAATATTCCTTAGAGTAGGGGCATTGTCATGTGAAAAGAAAAAAAAAAAAGATTTTTGCAATTTTAGCAAGGTAAAACTTAAGTTGGATTTCACATTTTTAAACTGCTATGAAGAACTGTATGCTTATTATATATCAAAGATTGTTGTATCCTAACAATATTACTGCTGTCTTACATATTGAAAATATAGTATACATATTTTGGTGGAATAAACATTTAAAATGTACTAATGTAGACATTCTGCACTAGTCCCTCATATAGACTGGGTTAAAAATGC